TGTGGGGGTGGGTGTGTGTATATGTAAAGTAAGGACAGGGACTTGGCAATATATTTTGATGCAGTTTAGCCATTCAACAGTGTAACATGATTATTTCCAACCCAATTAGAGGGAATGCATGGCACACCTCAACATTTAGTGCTGCATGTAAATAAAATATAGAGAAGATGACAAAACAAAGGGGAAATCCAATAGAGGAAATATACGTTCAGATGTTGACTATGACTGCCAGTGGTGTTGTAATGAAGGTATGCTATAACAGTTTAACATGCTTTTTACAATATAAGAGGATTGGTTACTGTAAACTGCGGATTGGATTGTAGTTATATTTTCACTCTTTGTAGTAGGTGTGGGGGAAAACAATTGGCCACTAGATTTTCTCCAATTAATCCATAGCGTGAAACTGAACCCCTCCAATGTTGAGTTCCACAGCAGCCAAGGACACAACCCTTTAAAGACAAAACTGCAGGTCAAGTTGTATTGCGTACTTTACTTTAAGTTGACCAAAAGCAAAATACTCTACAGAAAAGAAACTGCTTCCAAATAATGTATGTGGATTGCAGCAGGATTTTACATCAACAGATTTGTATTTTTCACTTGCCTTTAAACAGTCTACTATGACCTTGTGACATTTGCTTTTGTTTAGGTTTTCTTAAATTATAATATGTTGTGTGCTTGTACTTATTCGACTTGAAGGTTGAGGTTGAATTGATTAGTTTCAACATTAATGTTTGTAAATTGTCAGTGTTGTCAGTGTCTTCTAGAGTTAAAGAACAAGCATGAATTATCACACATACTACATATTTTTACCAAATGCATATTATTTCACAATACAACTGCAGCATCTACTATCCAGTCACAAGCTAGACTTCAGACAACAGTTACTCCCAGAAAACACTCTCTTTCACTTCTATTAGTTTTTGTTCTCCCTCCTTCCCTCTCTTCAAGAAAACAAATATAAATGAACAGCAGCAGCTCAATCAATGGCATGTTTGCCCATTTTAATTTAAGGGGTTGGCTTTTATTCTTCATGCTTTTATTCTTCATGCAAATAAGTTGTTTTAGGAAAATGTGTACTTAAAGCTTCCAAAATCCAATATAATTCTTAATCTGTTTTTAAACCACACTGACGACATACTCCAGTGCAGTAGAAACACAGAGTGTAGCTCTGGGGAATTCAAAAACGTCTTCCTTGCTGAATGAGCAATGCGCTGTGGTCTGCCCCATGACACTCATGCATAATATTCATCATTATTGGTGCAGATAGCTACTCTGCTTGTTTCGGTGTCAAGTTCATTTATATAGGGTGTGATATGAATCCCCTACAGATGGTCCATCTGCAGATTACTCTGGAAGTCTGAGAGGTTACACTCACTAACGGGGTCATCTCAAGGAAACACCTAGAGTGAAAATATGAGCCTATGATATTACACAAGGAAGACAAGATTGATTTAAGAAGTCATTTGTTATAATATTTTCTTTAGAAAGTTATGTTTTAGTAATATTCATTTTTGAAAATGTGAGCAGTTGTGTAAACTCATGAAATAGCTAGTAAGCACTAATCTGTGCAGACATAAGGAGGTTAATGTTCTTGAAGGATTATGTTGCCCTTCATTGCACACTTATTGCTTCCTCTGAGGCTGTGTAATGCTCCCAAAAAGCCTCATCAACAAAATGTTGGATTTTAAGGTTTTAAGATTTCAAAGGATGGAGCTATTTGGAGCGCAATGAAAATGCTGTGTGTAAGCACTGACTGAGAAGCCTTCCTCAAGACGAAAGAAAGTCAGTAAAGTATAAGGTTTGATTTTATCTGACACAGGGATTTTGAATTGCATTTATTTCAGAAGAAAATTTGTTTTTTTTCGAACACAACTGCAATCTTCTACAGTTAATGTGTGGATTGACTTAATCACAAGATGTGTTTCTACACACCTTCACTGTTTTGAGTATGGTCCAAATAGCCAGCTCTATGTCTAGATGGAGTGATAGAGAGATAGATGTGCTCGAATATAAGACCGATAGAGAGTGAGCATAAAGAAGGACTGTTAAAGGTATAGTACGTGAGATATGGCCAACATTTTAGTTTGGTAGTTTATCTAAACGAACAAACATTATCCACAGAATTTGAAGATGTTTGATGTATGGTTTTGAGATATCTACTCACATGAGCATGATAAGCAGCTAGCCCCTGCCCTTCTGTCTTGTAATTACTTTTATGATGCAATGGTGAGTCACTGAAGTGTTCAGTCTCCACTCGGTCAGGGGTCAAAGGACTGGGGCAACCCCAAAGGTTTGTCAATCACTTTGATGGGAGTGGATTTCTGAACGTTCTGAAAATGTGTCAACTGGATTAAATGAACAATGGCAGAGACGAGAAAATGACCCCAGCAGGGCGGCTCCAGGAGATGGACCCCCAGCCAATGTAAACCCCACTGCCTGGAGTCTGATCCAAGGCAACTCTTGGCCGGATCAGACATCACAACCGCCAACTGAAGGCCCTCCAACTGGAGGCCCTCCAACTGGAGCTATCACACGCTTCCCTCTCAGCAAAGTAGCCCCCCGGCAGCGAGGAGGATACAACAGAAAGAAAAGTCGCCTTCTCTAATTTCAGACCCAATCCAACAAATTGACTATCACACATACACAGACCGTACATCCCCGGGTTAGTGTCACAAACACACAGGTGGCTAACATAACTATAGGTTTGCATCACACAGTAAGTGGGTTTTATCAGTTCATTCTAAAAGTCTTATTAAATGTGACCTATCATGCAAAATGCACTTTTTGATGTATTTTATACATAAATGTGTCCCCGGTGTGTCAGGGAACTGACACACTGTGTGTGTGTGTGTGTGTGTGTGTGTGTGTGTGTGTGTGTGTGTGTGTGTGTGTGTGTGTGTGTGTGTGTGTGTGTGTGTGTGTGTGTGTGTGTGTGTGTGTGTGTGTGTGTGTGTGTGTGTGGAGCTCCACAGATTGGTCCATTTGGACCTGGGTAAGATTACACCACTATAATCAGGAAGAAAAAAATGGAAGAAAAGAAAAATCTCCAACGAGGCGTTCTGGGGCAGCATAGACAGGCACTCGACGGGCATGACGTGTCTCATGGACGGAAGGTCCTGAAACCTCCTCTCCTCGATTGGCAGAGCGTCAACTTCAGCAGTTGCAGCTGCCTGTTGATATTCCTGATGTAGTTGGGAGATGGTTGTGCCTGGGTGAAGGAACTTCTTGTCTTTGTAGGTCGCTGTGCTTCTGCAGTAGTGAGAATCAACAGTGGGCAGATCCTTCAACCAGTCCTTAAGGAAATCTGTGACAGCAGTTTCCAGCTTTGCGTTTTTGCCACTCTTAGGTGGAGATGTAGTTGGCGAGTCTGCCACTTGTTCGTCATGGTCGATGGTGTCTTTGTTCAGCCAGTGTAATCGTTCTTTCAGGGATACCAAGTGTAGAAGAAAAAAAGCTTTACACACTTTAAGATTCGTTCCATCCTGAAGTTTCAGTTGGTAGGAAAATTATGAACTGCGCCTGGATCCCTCACCAACTTTCTTTCTTACATGGCAACCTTTGTGACCAAAGTGGTGACGTATGTTCTTCCCAGTTGTCCATTGACCAAACTTTCTGAAATATTCACTGCCTCTGCTCTTCTGTAATGGATTGACAGTCTCGAGTCGTGACTCGTTGACAGAACTTCGAATTGCAGGGAAGGCCCATAGCCTTTGCAGCTACAGTCTTTGCCACCGTTGGCCTTGTATGCCATTCCTTTGAGACGTTTCTTTCTGGGTCCTATACTATAATATAGTATAACATCACTTACCAACAGGGGATAAGCCCTGAACCATGAAAATAACTTAATTTATCTGTTATTTTTTCTTTTTCTTGAAGCATAAAAGAACTATCCATACCAAAAATTTTTTAGAGTTAAAATATTTCTAAATCTAAAAAAATCTAGTAAGCTAAAAATAAAAAAGATAAACATAAAAAAAATAAAACCCCCTAAACGTAAAAGAAATTTTAGTATATAATTAAACATATTTATGAAATAGAAAATAAAACTATAATAAATGCTAAATAAATCTAAATAAATAAAAATTTCTAAACATATAAAAACATGAGTTCCTTTATACTTTTGGCATAAGTTTGTCTGCAGTCTGCCGTTTCTGTCGAAACAAACATGTCTCTTATACTACCCTACCTACAGGGCCAGGCCAGCCGTGCGTCGGGAACCTGCTGCCTGGTGACCTGCTAAGACTAGAGAATAATTGA